CACGGAATAATAAAAGCCATTTACAAAAGGGTTAGTCGTCCTGACCAAGTAAATTTTCGATCAGTGAATCTAGTGCTAGTTCATTCAAAAACATTGAGGCTATCACTGCCGACGCACTCATGTCTTCTCCGACAGCTTTGGTTACATTGCTCAACAGCCACACGGATTATGCTAGAATCGGTCGTTCCAAACCAATATATTGTTAGCACGAGACAACTCGACCGAAACTGTGAACCTTGCTGCAGGATTTGATTTGGATTGTTTTGATTTCTCTAAAGCTTTCGACCGCTTGGATCATCGTATCCTTCTCGTCAGTCTATACATATGTGGCATTGGGGACCCTTTTTTCGCGTGGATCCGAATTTATCTCACACAGTCGTCTGGAGGTGAGAGTACATGAATCCAGTGCAGATCAAATTCACGTCGAATGCAGTGTGCCACATGGTTCCGTACAGGGGGCCGGTCTATGCTTGGCCTTCGTGAACGACCTAGTGAGTCAAATGTACTTCAAACCGTTTACTATAGGCCGATGACATCAAATTTTGGCGAGAGATAAGAGCTTCAGAATACCGTATTCCGCTTCAAATCGAGCTTGACAAGATTTGTGTATGGTGGATCCAAAAGAGCCTTCCATGCAATGTGGCTAAATTTCGACTACTCCATTTAAACACGGAATGGTTCCATATATAATCTGGGAGAATAAGAACTGTAACACATTTCTCTAGAGAAGAATCTTGGTGTGATGGCCCAGGAAGATCTCGACTGCTCGGATCAGTCGATAAAGGTATGAAAGAAGGGGATCTAAATCGTGGTGCTTTTGCGGAGAATTTTCTGGTAATTCAAACCGTTGGTTTTTCACCAAATACATCCCGCTTATATACCTCCACATGTTAAAACTACAATTCAAGCATGGAACCTACGGCTAAAGCGGAATCTCACAGTCTTGAAGCTTTCAAAACGTTGGGCGACCAAAAATGGAATGGGGCTGCGCCACTTGTCATACGAACATTGCCTCAGAGTGTTTGGCATTTTCGGTGGACGTTGTCACCATTTGCATGATGACCCAATGATGGCTTACCAAATAGTAAACAACATAAATCACCCCTGCTATCACTTAGTTAAGCTAAGTCACAAAGGCCACTTGAGAGGCTATCATCTCAACTTGGCAGAAAAATACAGTTGATTGGATTGTTGAAGAAAGTTCTTCCTGCTGCGTGGTTTCCACACTTGAAATACGTTTTCAACAGCTGTTATTTCAGTTCCCAGGTTAGCCGTTTTCAAAGCACGTGTCGACAATGCATTGGCTATACTGCACCATCTTACGTAATCCAAACGACCCACCCAAACAGCAGAAATACAAAAACAAACCAACGCACCTCTATTTTTGCCCGGAAACCACAGACGAGAAACTTGGGTAGTAAATTAAACGGACGGGAACACTGTAATCGGCAAGTTTGCAATTTTCAATCGTTCACTATTTCCTACTGCCATTTTGACTTCATTTTGCCCACGCTAAACCGGTCATCATGCGGAACATGTCAAGTTTCGGCTAATGTTTCGCAATATACCATTGATCTTTGACAAAATAAGGTCAGCATGTCAATAAAATAAGACCGGCCTTGACCATTCACCGACCATATCAATATCGTTTATAGGCTTCGACATGAAAAACTTCACGGTACGCTGTTGCTACTTCGACATTTATTATATTCCCTTAATGAATGGTGCCACTCGTGAATGATGAGTCAATCGGTTTAAACACAAGTATGGTCTACTACGACTGTTCGATATCCAACAATGAACCAATAAGTATACAGGCATCCACACGCGATCTCGGAACTAGGTACTAATGAACCTTCGCCGTCTTAAACAGGCCAGATAATTTTGTAAGTTTATCCAAAAAGCTACACAACTCCTGCTAGAATGCAGCTATTTTACTTACTCTCCACACCATCCTCGAGTAATTTAGTATCATTATCATCATTCTACCCGTTAGCTAGAGGTATGATACACTTCCGCTACTGGGTCGCAATAATATAAGAAGAAAAAAGAAGAAAATCAATGCACCAATTTCATGCCAGCTGAGCTACCAGCAACAGACGGGCATCGTTCCGGAAAGCTACCAGCCGACTACTTGGCAACAACAAAAAATTGCTACTTATAATTCTGTTATGGTACGAACCGTGGAATAATACATGGTAAAATGAGAACGAGTGCCGGGCTTGCTCTAAAACACTGACACGTTTACTAACTATCTGATTGTTAATTATTCTATTAGAATTTACCGTGAGCGGTGCAAGCAAATCCACCTCGAATCCCTTTTTGTGGGACTTGCAGAGTATAACAAGTTGCTGCTTTACGACCTGCCATAAATAGAGACCCGTACCTTTTGTTTACACTCGAATTGTAAAATAGATCAAATCGGGAACTTTTGCAACAAGGATAATTCGTTGGTTTTACCATAGGTCAGAAGGAACACGGGCACGAATTTTTCCTGATCAGATATGCTTATCTGTGTAACAAACTGCCAATCATACTCAAATCATTTAAAAATCTGGCGACATTTAGTAATAAACTCGTAGATTCGAAAAGAAAACAAGTCCTTAGCAGCAGGCAGGCAAGCATTAAGGACGCTTCTCTCTCACACAACCACTAATGGTCGCATGTGGGCTAAGGATATTTTGATAATTGCCCGGTCCCTACACATGCTCTAATCAGCGCTGTCAACTTACCATGCGGGCTTGTGATCCATAAGGTTACTGACCAGCATGTGGCCTTGACGTGATTACAGTAGTGCCTGGAGAAACTCAGTAGTTACATGATTCCAACAGAGGTGCAGATGGTCGAAACGTCCCAGTTTCCAACCATTGGCTTTCATCACAACCATACACTAAATCTCTGTTATTTGAATTCCGTGCCTCAATATTGCATACATGCTTTTCGCCCGTCTACTTACTGATCTATGGTGCTGCAGACACCTTCGCGGAACGTCAAAATTTACGTGTTACTTTTATTGTATTCATTATTAATGGTATTATATACTGCGTCACGGTTGCCGAACCATTTGCTAGTGGGCCATAAAAGCAAGTTCATTTTTTGCGAACTATAATAAACTGCTGCAGGAGGTTGATTTCCTGAACAGTCATCCACAATTTTTCGCTTACAAATAAATTATCACAGTAACCCTACACCCATTATTGTCACAGGCGCACATAATGAATTAATAATATTAGTATTCAAGATCCGATGTGGTGATAGTTTCATTGGAACTACTACTTAAGTGCATCACATGATACATTTAACCAGTTAACGATACAATAGCCGCCATTCAGAAAGTTGTCAAATAGAATTACTGTTTCCTAATTGATGTGCACCGCCCAATGCATTGGTTTCGCTGCTGACAACAACGTTTGAAGCTCCAGTTCAACTGATATTCAGTATCGTACCGTAGACTTCACACTTCAGACTAATTGTGAACAACTTGAGAGGGTGTAAATATAGAGTAACCGATTAGGCGTTTTTGTACTAGCCATAGTGCATGTTTGCCATTCCAAAGAGAAACAATACCGCCTGTCTGCATATCGAATTGTATGAACAATTGAGAAGTCCTAGGACTCCCCAAATATATGAAGCTTATCAATTTTAATTAGGCTGCTCTAGGTAAACCTGTCAGATATTTATTATCACGTCAGAAGACGACTAATCGGTCTCCATTTCTGGTTTACAATATGTATTCCTACTTACCTAATTAAATAGGATAACTTATTTTCAATCTTTATTATTGGCTAGTACATAGACCAACCATTTTTCTTACCATCCACATGCAACAGCTGGTTTTGACTGCTGACTTAAATGTGAGCATTGTTTTCTATAAAGCCTATTATACATCTGAGAAGCTATATTATGAAATGCTACTTCCAATACTTTAAAAATTCTATTGTTTAACGCACGCAGAGAAGAAGTTAATTATGCTTAATATACTCAGGAATGCAGAAGACAAAGATATTTAGTGATAGACTGTTTGCAAATAGTACTTCCTTGACAGTTTGACTATGAGATTGACATGAGATGGATTAGTTTACAACCAGCTTTTGTCAAACATCGGCATCGTCTGGAGCTTCCTATTAGGCCCCAATGTGATACCCCAAAAAATGCAACGGCTATCTTGAACTTGCAATTTTCCTTCGTAGTCCTGAATGTCATCCTTAGTTCATGCCACTTGCAACCTTTTATGCGAGGGAAATTTTTCTAATAATCCTTACAGTACGTCAATTAGTATTGTCGCCCTCTCCTACTCATTCTGGTGGCCTAAGGGTAATCGATTCAAGCAAACGCCCCCTGTGCCTCATTACTTCTCAATGTCAATGAATAAGACTAATTTGGCCCTGCAGCAATGCATACTCTAGGGATTAGTTCCAATTATTTTCATAGAAATCCTTTAGATGTGTCAAACTTTCCACTGGCTTGCTCTGATGCATTCACAGCTTTCGATGGTCATTCTGTGTTCCGTAACGGTCTGTTGGTCTCATCGGTTGAACGCGCTTGTTACTAGATCCTATTTTCTTTTGTGCCACACGGAATTATCGATGCATGAAGCTAAATGGGATGATGGTTAAACTGAAGATGACAGCGCCTTCGTTAGCTTTTAATTGATGTATTCCTTAACTTAGTCAACCAAAAATAAAATGTTTCCATTATTTATTAGCTTGAAAATACATAAAAATTAAAGTAGTGCAGGCTTCATGATTGTGGCTGCGAAAATTTTAGAAAAAGTTCTTATCATATTTGGGGTGAATTACCAACAAAGTCTGGCCTACCGCTTAGTCAAAACCAGCACTTAGTAGTCAAAAGTCTGCGATATTTTCGCCATGTCCACCTACAGGGTTAATCAAGAATGTTACAGGTGACAGTTCGTCATGTCAAACGCGAGAAAAGATGAAACTTTGATGTAAGTAAATCGTGAGGAATTAATGAATTCAAGATGAAGAATCTACACTTACATTGAACAGCCTGTCGTCGTGTCTCTGAAGATAGCTATCCAGTAGCTGAGAAGTATTCATCTGATTTGAGTACTGAGTATTGTTGTAGTTCCTGCACGAACTTTTCTTCATCAAATGCCAAGCTCCTGCGCCAGAGGACAGGTCGCCTGTTGAAAAGAGTGAAATTTCACTTCGTAAATGGCCTTAGTGTCATGCACAAAATAGTCTGCAAGGTGGATTAATGTACACTGAAATGTAATGCATAGTTTTGAGACGCCAAAGCAAATATTTAGCTTACCTAACGCAAAGAAATTCGCCTCGATATAACCCTTTAAATACAATTCTCGGAAAGGAAATTCTACTCACCATTATTCACACATACTGGTAGCTGTGAAGTGTTTTGGTGTTGCTCTCTACCATCTCTGCATTCCATCACGCGTTTCATTATGTTTTTGACCCAGCAAGTAGTTATAGTGTGCGTCTATATTGGAACTCGGAATATAGTGGTTGGCACCTATCGGCTTGATTAGTACGCCACGGAGCACCGCGAGTAGAGCTAGGTAGATGTGAACGACATCAGTGCACCAGCTGTTTAGCATATGAAACCCCGTGTGTTTCTGACAGAAATGAGTTTCACCATGTTAGTTAAGCTATCCAGCGACATCAGTTCTCTCAGGTGAACGACGTTTTTCAAATTAAGCTTCATTCATTAAAAGGACGATCATGAGCAAGTTTTGTGATTTGCCAGCCATCCACAGCTTCAAGTTTATCCTCGAGAAGACTTTTAACGTAAACTACTACTCATTTCGGGTATCCCCTCCTCCATTATTTGACTTATCGTACTCTAAGTATCGAATTCATGGTACTTTCTTTAATGCGCATGCACATTGCATATGGTTGGTCTTCTGGGTTTAACAGATTTTAGCAAAGGCACGGCGAATGAACTCGGGGTCGCTAAACGCAACGACTAGTAAAATAATTTACAAAGTCTCAGTTACAGGTCTGTACTGTATACACAAAATTACTATTCATCTTGAGGTTTCCGGCTCTCGTTAATATCACTTAACGAAATGAGGCTAAGTGCTATTCAACTACTTTCTCTATGCATAGCGTTTTGCAGTTATTACTCCATCACTTTCCTGTCTTGGCTGACGCATCATTCACAACAAGGCTGTCCCTTTACATTGTGCCATGAATTGGAAACCGTAAATGGCAATTAAATGTGTAAAACCGGATCACTACAACTATCCCGACGACTCGTTGTCAGATCTAGAGCCAAAGCTTTAGTTTAGGATAAAAATCATTCTCATATCTTGGTTTGTCTGGACTGGTGTTATCGCCGTACATCTACAACAGTAAATTAATTTTTAACCTGCTTTAGCCGTTGCACCAACTGAACTTTACTCATTAAACAATAGATATTTTGTTCCGTTGCATTCAAAATCAGGAAAACGTAACATTTTACATTTCTGACTTACGCAAGTTTGGACCCAATCGGTAACCCTCATCTTTCAATACCCGGTGTAATGGGTACAGCTGCAATGCTTCTGAAGCTCCGCCATCTACAGCTGAATTTCCATACTACCCCAAGTATCCCTGTTGCGAACATCCTTTATCAAGACAATCCACGTTGATCTTCTTGTGGCATTAAACGTTCCTGCTGTGACAACTAAATTAGCAGAATGCACTTGGCCGCGCTGTGGACACTGAGTTCACGATTACGTGGCACTTCAGTTATTGGGATCGATGACCCTCACGCGATTATAATACCAAGTACGCCCAACCTCTCCTCTTGCTCTTAGCTGCATGCCTCAGCAGAGGCTAGCACAGTAGTCAGCGGTAAGGTATTGGTGGTCATTATTCTCCACAACAGAGTTTAGTCCTATTTGGTTGATTTGATTTCCTTGGCGATACTAATTAGCTCCTCTCACTAAATCAACACATGAATTTGCAAGTCTGTGGAAGATAAGATGCTGTATATTGCATTTAGCTTGCAAATAATGGCAGTAGGAAGCTGTCCTCCGTGGTCCAGTGGCATAAGCTGCTGACTAGCGGTGAAAGCATTTGGTGGTCTTGGGTTCGAATCCTGATGGATCCGACGGATGGGCACTACTGATGATGCCCAAAAAGCTGCAACTGCAGTCTAGTGCTTTTTCGGGCATGTGGACGATTATCTTATTTGGAATTGGCTGCGACGAATCACCTTTAACTATTTAACCATCTTTCTTTTTGCTAGGTGTAAATACGAAATAAAATGGCAGTAGCTTTACATAGGCTTTACATGTGCATAAAAAGTCTTCAGTTTACTCCGAATCCAAGAGTAATAGTGATCGCATGTTTCGAAAGTACACTGAGCATTTGCTTTATCTTAGCGGCACATCCCTATAATATGGCTCCAATAATTATCCAATGCTCCAATAATTCCTCTCTAAATTGGGCCTCGTTGGATCCAATAAAAACATGTCACCATGATTTCATATTGTTTACAGATTGTCTCCGATCCCGTGTGTCGGCTTTTTTTCTTATCCAGAAAGCTGCCAATTTTACATGAAGTGTTCCAGGTGTTAAACGTGACTAATTACCGGGAACTGGAAAGCTATGTGAACTCTTAGCTAGGCAAACTTGGCGGGATGCCATGCATTTAATGCATTCACCCACTCTCCTTACGAACGTCGCATTTCTTTGGGGGAGTATATCCGCTACTGTAAAGGCTACATTATCTGCTTACGTCATTAAATGCTGTCATCACATTGTGCACGGAAGTTTCATAAGGTTAGGGGACCTAATTTCATCCAGAGACCACATACTTTCTGACACTGCGCACAAAATAAAAAAAACGAACTATCGGGCTTGGGAGAAAATGTTACGTGCTAGCTGACAAGAAACTGATGGATCCGATTGGATAAGGAACTAAATTAGGATTATTCCAGTTGATCTCATGAATTGATGTCGGTATGCAAACTATGCACTGTATCGGCTTACTAGTTGACGATGCTGATTGACATCTGATCTGCAGCTGGCATGGAACTTTGTAGAGCATTTCTGTTAGCCTCCTGCTCCGGTAACATGTACTCATGTGTTTCAAATTCTTGGAAGATACTTGGAACCGATCGAATAGTCATGAGTTCAGAGAGGTTTGGAAATGATCGGTTGGTATAAACGTTTGGTAACGTTTCGATCTCGACACGAGAGCTTCGCCAGACCAGGTGAATCAATGTGCAATTGGTGTGGGATTTTATAGCGAACAGGTCGATAACCGTGTTACCCGAGACTTGAGTCATGATGTCATTACAGTAACAGTTGGTGATGTCACCTCAGGTGGTACGATCACAGTGGGAATAGTCCAAGGATTCCTTTGTGCGTCATGGCAATGACGAATAAGCCCATAGTGTTGACAATGGGAGTCAGTTTGCACTTTCCAGTCTGATCCACGCACCGATGCTCGTCAAGCTGCCTGGTTTAAGACCGCCCGCCACGCATTAGGGAGTTCTACCCCCTCCATTCTATTCACGCAGTCATCAGATTTGACATTTTCCACTGCCTCGGCAATCAACCGCTGAGTGGTTGATCGTATACCCCTCCTAATGACCTCTACGTTTTCGAGGTCTATCTGATGACCCGTGTCTAATGCATGCACAGCTATGGCCGAGTCTCTTACTATTGCCTGGTATTCAAACTCGTTTCTTGGTAGTCTTGAAATGCGCCTCATATGTTCCGAAATTCGTGTGCGTAATTCTCTAGCTGTTTGGCCTATGTACGCATGTGCACAGTCCTTACATTTAATTGCAGAAACGCAGTTAGTCGTCCTATCCTTGGGAAGGGGGTCCTTTAGGTGTACCAGTGCGGAACGTAACGTTCGACCTCGCTGAAAAATCATCCTTATATTTTCCTTGTTTAATACCCTCCGAATTGCCTCCGAAGTGCCTTCCTTGTACGGAATTCCGACCGTCCCTATCCACTCGGCTGGAGGTCTTGTCTGCCGGTGTAGCACTTTATGTAATTGGCGTTTGACATGTCGCCGTGGGTAACCACTTTCTAATAGTTTGCTCATTGTCACTTTCCGCGCAGGCTTTTTGTCCTCCTCCATCGTGCACAAGGTTTGTGCCCTGTGGAACAGCGCTGACGCTATCCCAGCGTAAACCTGTTTCGGATGACCCGAAGTATAGTGGAGTACGCCGTCAGTATCCGTTGGCTTACGATATATTGTCGTCGTTAAATTTCTCCCATTCCTGTGAACCAGACAGTCAAGAAATGGTATTATGCTGCTACAAGATTCCAACTCAATAATAAACTGTATTCTCTCATCAATGGAGTTTAAGTGATCAAGCAACTCGTCCTTCTTATCCCGTTTAACAAGTACAAAGGTGTCGTCTACATGACGCCACCAAACTTCTAGTGAATTAATGGTGTTTGTTAACGTCCTGTTCTCGAAGGCTTCCATAAACATTTTCGCCAGTACAGGGGATATTGGCGATGCCATGGCGAGACTGACTGTAAAGCTTCGACTGAAAAACGAAGTAAGACATGTTAAGACATACTGTCACACCCTCGATTATCTGGATTACTGTTAGTTTCGTCTGCTCATTCAGAGTGACGTCTTCATTTAGATAACGTCTTGCAATTCTTAGCGTCTCTGCTTTGGGTACATTTATGAAAAGTGATGTACCATCAAAGCTGACCATCAAATCATCTGACTCAATTTTGAGACTTGATATCTTTTGAGCGAAGTCATAAGTGTTTTTCACGGATGTACTCGTTCCCCTGTTAGAGGCTGCAATGGCCTTGCCAAATATCTCGCAAGTTCATGGGTCGGGGAGCCTATACGGTCGAGTATGGGCCGTACGGGAACTTCCGGTTTGTGAACTTTTGGCGAGCCATAAACCCTGGGAGGTAAAGTCGATTTTGGGTATAGACTGTACCACTTGCCTGCCCCTAAACCGTCTTTCACGGTTCTTAAATAGTTACTAACCTCCGTTTTACTCTTGCTCATTACTGACGCCACGTTCTTATCAACAACTACTCTATATGGACCCATCTCCAAATGTTGTCCCATTTTCTCTAAGTATTCGGACCAGAGTTTTTCCCTTGTCAGCCTTTGTAAGTACAATGCTGCGGTCATCTTTCAAGGAATTTAATGCACTACGTTCAGTTTGCGGAAGATTTGGCT